AAACGAAATAATTTGCATACAACAGCCGAGCAGCGAGCAAAGAGCGAAGAAACAAAAAAGTGGATCACCATAAGCACCGTGTTACAGTCACACTCGTTTCTCAGCACCATATACATGTATACATATTATACAGGTAAAAACATCGAAATTTCGAAAGCTGCGAAGAGAATGCGGTGCAGGAAAGAGAATAGGAGAGAGAGAGAAGATACGGCCGGGGAATTCCCAGCCAAGAGAACGCGAAAGAGGCTCGGCGCCTGTGAGCGATTACATTCTCTCTCGGCATGGACAGCTTTGTAAGTCAGAGATCCCGTATATATATCGTAAATGTGCTGTGCCATATACTTGTACACACACACACACAGAGAGAGGAAAGCTCGTTAATTATACGAGTGCACGCATCTGCCGCGTAATGGTAAGAAGGAGTCTTTGACACTTGGCAAGTCTCTGGAGAGCGTCTGTGTGCATACGTGTGAGCGTGCAGTTAACGAGAAGCGAGGGATTTCCGGAAAGTTATCGATTTTTCACGGTGGCCTTTCCAAACAGGCACACCTATCGGTCGATGACAGATTAACGATACAGGGAGGATCGGTAAACATTGTTCGAAACCGTACACATCGGCCGTGAGTAATTATAACACAATAAATCCAGTTGTTTTTTTTTTCTTTCTTCTTCTTTTCTTTCTCTCTGTTTTTGTCTCGCACATAAACGATCCGAGAGTTCATTGGTACATGAATGAAATGGATTTATCGGGTGTATAGCGAAAACAAATGACGCATCAAGCGCATGCACCCCGCACCTTTGCATAATTGCGGCGATGAGAGCATCAGCGGTGAGGAGACGTAGCGACCATATAAGATGTATACACTCGATGATCCGCATTTCTTTTCTTCTCGCACAAGTGACGAAATCCAATGGCGCTATACTTTCTTTCCACATTGGTCCCGCGTGTATCCCGAGCTGACGCCACCTCCAAGGATTAATGGCCGGGCTACCCGCCGACTCGACGGGCGAGAAAATTGCGCGTCTTCCCGAGACTCCTCCGCGCACCGGCGCAAACACGCCGAAACCTATTAGAACCGTGAGCAAGCATAACGCTTCCACGGGATGACATCACGTGGGAATTACAAGGTTGGACGAAAATCGCCGGCTTCTATGTTTTACAAACGCGCGCTTTCTCTACGTCTCCCCCCCTTTTTTTTCTAGTTTTCATACACTTGATTGTTTGATCTGACGGGGAAAAATTGCTGTTAGAAAAAAGATAATTTTTTGTAAGTTTTTTGCTTGTTTTTTAGAAAAGAAGCGTTAGACGGTTGTAACGTTGCGGGCTATTTTTAAAATTTTGCGCCTCGGGAACGTTTTATAGCTCGGTTGGCCTTCGTGTATAGGAAACTTCGAGTTTGGAGGTGTGTATTGCACGTACCTTCTCCTACCACAACAACGAGCATTTGTCTGCCGTCCGAATTATTATTATTACCATCACGCGACTATATATTTGTATATATATTCTCTTATCGAGTACCTGCTCTCATTTATCGAGTACATTCTCTTATCACGTTGACGTGGTTCTCCATCACGGAATTAGATAAATTTTGTCGAAGCTCGCGATTACACACGTGCAAATTATTCTCATTTCAGCCGATTCCGTGAAATGAATGACAGATTGCATGGATTGTTTGGACGCTTACATTGACATCGCTTGGTTATTTTTTTTGCCTTTTTTAGCACTGCTTGTATCGCGATTCATACGAGTGCAAAAAAAAAAAAAAAAATTTAGATTCGTCACATTTGTGTATTTGTACGAGGTAGGTGGATCACGTTTGATCGTTGACACGCGATAAGGTGTATCGTTGTTCGAGCAGCTCAATTGTCAAATAGATTGTTATTTTACATGTTCGGGTGTAAGTACTTTGGAATTTACGATTATATGTGTATTATTAATCCAGATGTACAATGTTAATAGCCAATTGATCACGCCCAAAAATATTTACAATTGCTTTTGTATTTATGACAGTCGAGAATTCTATTATTGATCGTTAATTAACAAGGTAAATTTATTTAATTCTAATGCGGCCACTGACCTATTTGGGAAATACTGCAAACGTGAGTTAATGCTCCAAACTGTACCTACTTCTGTTGAAATAAGTATCATGGAAGGGATTCTTATTTTTCAATCGATACCTTTGTTTCCATTTTAATACAAATTCCTTTTGTTCCAACCTATCAGCGCGCATATTCATCAATTTTTTTTTTTCAACTCGACACGAAATCATATTGACATGGGAAAACAAATGATTAATCACAAAGGGCGCATGTATTTAAAAGCCAATCTAAATGTAACGAGCGATAAACAAAGCGGCTGGTGTATTAACCGCTTGGCGTCTACAATCATCGAGCCTCATATCTGTACAAAAACATATTGCGACCCGATGAGGTGCAATTATGAGTACTCGTTTGTGAGGAAAATTTGCAAAAAAAGGGCAGCCGACTTTTTCTCGTAAATAGTTATCTCGATGAGATTAAGTGTACCCCCACAGTGCGCCTCGCTCTAGTGTACAGTATGTATCGAGAAATAAGGAGCGATAAAAGCCGCTATGAGGTACAGAAGTAGCGCCGTTTGAGCGATTGAATTAATTTTTCGATGGCTATCGAGTATTCGTATCATATTTTTCTTTTTCCTCGTTCGCTCTTGACTCAAAGCTTGTCTTTATTTCGCATGTACGATGTTTGAGAAAGGCTTAACTTGAAATCGACAGATGTTTTGTGCTTGTTAATGTTAGTTTAACTGTAGAATATCTCTTTGTTGATTTACTTTTTTTTTTTTTTTNTATATTATTTTAATGATAAAACATTATTTAAATGCTATTATTTGTTATTATTATGGTGAATTAGAGAGAAAATAACAACTAAAAAAATAATTCATTGTGCTATTGAAACACTCGTTTAACTTATGATTAATAATGTGATAATGGGTCCACGATAGGGACAGGGTCCATCATTGGGACAGATACCCCTACATCACGTTCGCCCAGACGAGAGTTATCATTACGAGCCTTTCATGAGCGCAATTGTACGATACACCTTATACGCGCACTAGTAGCGCATACACATGGAAAAGTCACGTACATAATTATACATGCACGGGAGAGAGTCGAGGTAAAAGTAGACTTCCGGCCGTCCTTTGGTTCCTTCTCCCCCGCGTCTTGTAAATATATACACCCCTGATGGCTTTTTCTTCGTCTCCTCCGATAGTATGTGTGTAGGTACGTGCTGGTGCAAGGGAATTCCCCGAGATTAAGGCTTCCTTTTTTTTTCTTCCTCCTACTCCTCCTCCTCCTCCTCCTTGCTGCCATACATTTATCCCCCCGTATGTAGTCTCCGGAGTGCCTTTTGTTGGGCGCATCTGGATTTTACGAAAGGCTTTCGGTTTCTCCCAACTCTGCTGCCATTCAGTAAAATTCTCTTCTCCTACCCCTCCCCCTTGCGCTCATTCCCACCCACTTTCTGTAAACCAAGTTTTGAAACTCGCTGTGGATTTACCGCTTTTTTGCGGTCCGATGGGAATAATTTAGCGACTCCTTCCTTTCTTTTTTTTGTTTCCCCTTCGGCGTCAGCTGCTCGTGGTGTCTGCTTCCCCTCCCCCTCTCTCATGGATTTTAGCTTACGTTTGGTATTTTGGTGTATCGTTTTTGGGTAAATGGAGGATCTCCAAATTTACGGTCGGCTTATCTCTAAGTGGGTACACCTACCCGCTCGATCCGAGTAAGCGAGAGTTAATTGGTCATTAAAGGGGATGCTTTGTCGTGAAAACAATGAAAGTGCGAAAATTCGCTAATTTCCCGTGACGGGAAACAGAGAGAGAGAGAATCCATTGGGGTGTACTTACGACTCGGGCACACGATCCATTACGTCAAGCCGATTCCTAATGGACATTTTTTCCTTTTCTTTTTCGATTAACATAAATATTTTTTTTTTTAATCGGAAGATTAAGTGCACACGTTGAGCACGATCGTTCAAATGGGATTATAACGATGTTCATTCCTCGCTCGGATGGCACGCATTGTCAACCGAATCGGTGATTTAATCGGGCCGATCGTTAATGAGATTTACTTTCTAATACGGTTATTTAACGATCTTTGTCACAAAGTGACTTGTATTTTAAAAATTATCAATCGATAGCTTTATCTTTGGATCGTAAATGTTTTACTTACGATTCGCTTTTTCCAATTTGTGAATCAGACTTGCATTACCGATTTACTTGGAACGTTAATTACGAGTCACATTAACGTTCGATCGGAAAAAAACTGCAACCGATTTGTAAACAGTTTTTTTTCATCATCTCGTTAAAGTGTATTTTTTGTTTTTCGCACAGCTGGTAAAAACTTTTCGCTTTGTTTGCGATCGCGTAAAAGTCGTGGTAGTCGGCATTTGTTTCGAAAAGAACACATGGTCGATAGTGCACAGCAGAACCAAACGCGGCGAGAACGATAATAATGTCGCAAGTTGAGCGCAGCGTAGATATGGGATGACAAAAAAAAAAAAAAAAAAAAAAAAAGTTTTTTCCCCAAGGGGAGAAAAAAAAAAGAAAAAGAACATTTTTTTTTTTTTTTTTTTTTTTTTTTTTTTTTTTCTTCTTTTTTCTAGAAAAATAACAATTTTGCAAAATTGTTCGTTTTGAGAGCTACATGAAACTAGAGTGTCTTTTGTCACCATTAATGCATGATTATATACAATATGATAAATTTAAGATAACACGAGTATTTTTCAAAAATCTTATCAAAATGAATTGAACATCGAGATTCCCCGAAATGCACGCAATGAGGTGTCGATCTTTGCTGATAAAAGCATATCGTGTCACGAATAAATAAATGAACATTCATTCTAATGCGTTGCAATGCTTATGAATATTTTTTAAGTTCCCTCATGAGTACATCAAGATTCATGGACCTAATCCAAAAATTCTTTGGCAACGTGGTAAAGTGAAATAAATTTTACTGACTCACCATTATAATTTCTCATCTGTAAATTTTGAGGTATGGATGCTGGTAGTTTGTCTCCTAATGTGGACTTTTCAAACTGAGTCAACGGACACGTTAAAGCTTTGACACAGCTCAAACTGCCCCTATCACAGGCGAGATGAAGCGGTGTATTTCCTTGAAAGTTACGAACCATGGGGTCAGCTCCAGACAATATAAGCTTGCGCACAATGTTTCCTTGCTTTGTAAGGACTGCTAGGTGCAGAGCAGAGTCCCAGTTGTCGTTTTGAAGATCGAGTAAGCAAGGATGGGGAGCTATGTCAATCAAGTAGTTGATTGCCTCTGTAAATTCTTGTATTATAGAAAGATGCAGTTGTCTGTGAAAAGCAAGCAAAATGTTTTGTTTCATTAAGCTGATTGATGAATCTTGATCGATTAACTGAAATAGGCAAAACAATGGAAAACTAGAAAAAAACCAGGATTTCAATTTCTACAAGTAACAAAAGTACTCACGTGTCACCATCGTTATCTTGAGCATAATAGAGTTGCCATTGTGGTACATTCACATTCTTAAGCAGTTCAAATTCGTCATCAACTTTAAAATTTTGTAATTCTCCAGAAATCAAATCTTCAGATTCAATGTTTATAATACCACTGTCGGACTGATTGCTAGTAGCAACATCCTTCAAAGACAACTTATTCAAATCGATGTCCAAACCAAGATCCAAACCACTTTTGGTAGCATCAACAGGCTCCGGAGCAACCTTGGCATCATCTCTGTTGAGTTCCTCCTCCTCGGAGTCTATGCTTAACTGAGAGCTGAGCAGATTCCCACTGGATATGAATCCAGAGTCACCCTGAGAATCCTCAATTTGCTTGTCCTTGCTTGCTGCTCCATCCATCTGGTCATTGTATGTTGGTTGCCGCCACATTTTGTTGATCTAATGCCACTTTTCTCCTTTTTTGCGCAAGCAGTTTTCACCTGTAATGTTACATAGTGCAATGTCGTATGGATTGGACACCTAGAAAGCGACGACTTTTTCACAAAGTTTTTAGCCTGGAGAAGGGAAGGAAAGAGGAGAGAGAGAGAGAGATGAACAGATGTTGGTGATGGTGAAAAGCTATCTGGGGCACAAGAAATGGTGGGGCTTTCACTCGACGAAAAAACAGTGTAATGAGAAAATCGATCCTCACGTACTTATAAGTAAAATTATGTAGAATTCAAAGGGCAATCATGTTCAATATTAATTTATATTGCTGTCGAGCACCCATTAAACTCTAGGTATACTCCAAGCTCTCACACTCATACACACGTAAAGCACATACACTCACGCACGCATACACAGAGCACGAGGTCTATTGGTTACATTGTAAATAATGAAGTCTACTTATATGCACAGTTATTTACCATTCGGTAGTAGTACTTGAAGCATTGTAAAATTATGAAAAAATCAACAATTTGACTAACAAAATGAAAACTATCACATTAACGTAAGCACAAGTGTAAGTAAGTATCACACGATGACGATGCAGGATGTGGCACCATGCCCAGTATGCCCACCAACTTCAATCGTTGATAAATGACGAAGGAGTTAGAGAGGAGATAGAAGATATAGGAGTACCTATAATTAGTAAGTAAGTATGGGAGACGGTCGAGACGGAGCTATAGCTAGGAGAACTGGAGAAGGGATGGAGGAGAGAGTCGTGTGCACGCAATATAGCGAATCACAAGTGTCAGACGACGTAGAGCATCTATACCTAGAGATACTAAGTATTAAACCAAACTATAGGTCCACGAAAAGAAAAAAAATTACGACGATAATGATGAGAAAACATATTTCCCTCTACTTCCTCGTGCACCACACCACAACTGCACACGACGACAACAAAGTGTAAATGAATGTACCTACACTTTGTGTCGTTTTACTCGATCGTTTTTTAAACGATAGTATGTGCGCTTATAATTATGTTGTATTCTTATTCACTAAAAAAATAAAACATGCAGACATTGCAGGCGCCAATTTTTTATCGCACTTACACTGTACACACGCACTTGGGACAGAGACACAGTCAACATATTATCAATGAGTATGGGTGATGAAAAAAAAAGGTTTTTCCAAGTAGATTACAACATTACGTACGTGCGAGATGGGCTCTCGTTTAACACACATAAACGAGCTTATAACACTGCACACTGCACGCGGTTATGAGTTCACGCGTTCACAGACTTTAGAGTCGTCGAGATTAAGTCAGCAGAAAGCGGCTTCCTGACATTCTCGGTGTTGATAGCACAACTTCACAGTGAAGTCTTCACTGCGGCAGGGAATTGTGGGTAGGTAATGTAGGCATGTTGGGCTGGAACATCTGGAACATTGGGCGTTCCGATGTCCGTTCCGTTGGTTAGTATGGCTTAAGCGCGGGAACATTTGAATGTTCGTTGATTCGTCGACGACGAACAGTGCCTGTTCGAATGGAGAATTTGAAGTCGTTAAAATTGTAAATTGCTCTAAAGTTTATTTCATCGCAAAGTGAGACTTTTTTTCTTTACGATGGTCAAGTAGTAGTGCAGTGTTAATTTGAAATGTCCCCTAGAAAGTTCCCGTTCCTCGTACGAATGCATTATTTTTCCAACGTAATATATACTTTTAAGCCTAAAGAAGAAAGTACATACAGCCAAAATTACTATTCTCTTCGCGCTGCAGAAGATACATTGGTATAAATAGGTATTTCCCCTTGGGTTTTTCATCGTTATCGAAATAAGCGACGCAACGTACGAAAACGGGCATAAAATGTAGGTCGGTGTGACTTTGTTTCGAAAAATCTTGCATATCTTGGAGTAAAAAAAAAAAAAAAAAATATGTATATTGCAAACATTAATCACACGTTTTTTCGAAACAAAATAATTATTTACTCAAATAACATCACTATACCTCGTTTCCTGTCGCAACAGAAATTATATCCGCGTCCGATGGACACATTGTTCCGTGTTTACGCTTTCAAATGACTCAAGATCTAGTCTCCATCTAATAATTTTCAAAATTATACCCTATATTTGTTAAACGACGTACGGGCGTGTCCAATCGTGGGAAAAAAAAAAAACAAAAAAAAAACAAGCGCGTACTGAAAATCGCGACGGAAATTGTAACGAGCACTGTACGGTTTTTCCCTAATAATAATGGACGCGCTCGCTCGCGGCGGGTATTTCCGACAGTTAGAAATTCACTGCGCACATGCAGCACAAACACACGTTAAATATACATACGTATAAACAATGATGTTTGGATTTACTCTAATTGTTTTTCGAACACTGGCGCCATGCACGCTACTCCGAAATGATAAATTTGTTTTATCTTTCGCTCGATCAAAGTCAGTTTTTTTCGTTTTTTTTCCCCCAACCGCAGAAAGTAAGTTTTACGCTTCGAAGAATAAATTACGATCGACTCGTTTTAAAGAAAAATGAGGTTTTTTTTCTTTTCTCCTTTGGTTGGCTCACTAGACACAATGAGCTAAACGGTAGATGAAAATATTAGTCATACTGAACACGATTCGAATCATAGAAAACTAGCCAATCGTCATGAAATAACAATAGTCTATAAAAATATTTCAAAGATAGCCAAGTCCTTGACTTAAGCCGTGTTTCCCGCCGATGATGCCAGCAGTGACCAGTCCACACAACTAATACGTGTGATTAACTTACCATCATTAATACGATTTGACACCAAATGTGGAATTTCCGCTTCACTGACAACGTTTATATCAATATAGGTATAAGTGTATGTTTGTGAACCTTAGCATAAAATTGAATCAATTGATTGCCATGCAGGATGTACATACATGTATACATTTAATAAATCAAACTCCAAACGACGTGTGTAATTTTCGTATTGAATATTTATTTCTCAAATAAATTCAATAACTACATTTAGCATGATAAAAAAATAATGACAATCTGTACAAATTAAAATTAAGCTTACAAACTACTCAGTACTTTTTTTGTGATTTGAGTATCACGATAAATTTGGATTCGTAGATCGTCACTTTATGCCAATTAAACATCTCGCATCGATTTTATAGGAACATATACGATGATATAACTCGCTCTATAACAACAACTGATCGCGATGGAGTAACTGCTTTTGTCGTAAATGCCATGATAATTCGATCACTACAATCTTTCATGTCTTGATATAATTAGCTTTTTTTTTTTTCTTCTTTCTTTCTATTTTTTTTTTTTTTCCGTCGCTGACCCTCCATCGACACATCCTTATAATTACAACGCACGCAATCCCGATCCTTGGCCTCACATGTTACTCAGGTGTCTTAAACGAGCGCGCGCAACACGTACACGATATTATTTCAATATAACACGGCGCTCTGAGCAACGAGTAACGACGCAAAGTATTAGCGGTACAAGTAATAACGATGATGATGACGATAGCAATAGTTGTTACTAGTGTTGTTGTCGTTGGAGCTGCTGCAGTGATGTAAATGATGTGGCATGTATTGTGTACGAGAGCCGATGATGAAGATGGTGTAACGACGATGGCTTTGAGCTCGGCCGAGCCTCTTCACGAGTACATGGTGATGACCTCCCGGCCGCCGCCCCGCACAATCAGCACTCGCTCGAGACCTTCTGTGAGCACCTCCAAGAACTCCATGTCTAAAGAAATCGAGTTAAGGAGCTCGTCGAAAAAAATCATTGGTGATCGGTATGGAGTCAACGTTGATTAAAAGGATACAGTTTGATTCGCGCTCGATGTTTGTGTCCTTGGGCGGTCCGGGCAGATTGAGAATGACCAGTTGAGCCTCGTGGCTCTTGTTGACGATAACCTCGTTGAGTTTGACTGCCGTGTGCATTCGCCTGACGTTGTCCTCTCCTCTGTAAAATCGGGGGAAAACAAACATTTTGCACAATCCACGAAAAGTTAGCTTGAAAAAAAAAAAAAAAAAAAAAAAAACTTACGGTGTGCGGGGCCCTGGGCTCTCTTCGGAGTCCGCCTCCTCTTCCTTGCTGTCCTCCACGTTCTCCTGGTTGTCGCCAGCAGCTTCCTTCTCGGCAAGAGCCTCCTTCTCGGTGGGAGCCTCCTTGCTCGGCTTGGGCGATCCCTTGGGCGTGTCCTTACCGTCGTCGTCGGACTTATCTTTCTCCTCCGATGTTGGCTTGTCGGGTGGTTGCTCGGCAGGGTTTGGCTGAGTGGTCGGCTCCTGGAATCGGACCTTCGTTTGCTTTACCTCCACGTTCTGGTGGTGGTGGTCGACGATCGCCTGGACCTGTTTGGAGTATCGGGGGAAAGAAGGGAAAAGGGGAAACATTCGATCAAACACTTTGTACGTATTTTGCAAGCTTGTTTAAATAATCAACCGGTCTGTAGAAATAGATTTTTTTTTTTTTTATTGCAATTGAACGCTGACATAATATATGATACACGTATAATAAGCACTTTACAATATCAACGTTCAATTTCAAGGAAAAATAGCGATGACATTATGGGAATACTGGCTGCGTACAAGACTAGTGAAAGCGGCCGTATATGTGAACGCCAAACAAAATATATTCATGTATGTATTGTGATCTAGTAAATTAAAGCCATTAAACATAAAAGTGCCATCATCCAAGCTGAAAATAATGGAGCGCTATAAACAAGAAAAAATGTGTAATGGGATTTTTCAGGCTTTTTGTGTAATGATGCGTAAACAATGCCGATTTTTTTTCTTTATGATGAGTGTTTGCTCTGCGAGTGATGGTACAATCTAACGGTAAGATGTATAATTGTTGTAGGTATTACATGTATACGGAAACAAAATCATAACGGATGGAGCGAAAAAGTTGCGATGCATTCGAATCAGTCCCATAAACCATCGGCAACTTCTTCACGAGACGTGCAACGATGATGAAAAGTCCATGTCGAAGATCATTCAAAACAATTTTGAAAACACTTATTTATTTGTATAACAATAAAATGGCATCTAAATGATCGAATGATATATTATATCGAGTGTCTATATGTTGATGATTGCGTAAAAACACATGTGTAACATAAAAAACTGAATTGGTCGTTGTCGAATATGCGAACAGCTGCCCTAAGGGCAAAATAACAAAGGGTGAAACTTGATCGGGTTGTCGATAGTATGTATATATGTAACAAAAAACATGGTGTATTATGAGAGATAAAAGAGACACATATGTACATGTATATTGACAATGGAGACACTAAAAGATGGCAGTGTGGATTTGAGGAGATAGAGAGAGGCCGGAGCCTTTTCAGCTGTATGTATAAGGTTTTTTATTCTGACAAACCGGAGGCAAATAATCCTCGTCTATAGTACCTCGTTGAAGTCGGCCGCCGACTGTGGCGCAACATAGACAGTGGGCGTATCGAAGAGTACGAGGGGACGCATCCGCGACAAACAACAGCGCAAAAAAAACAGATATTAATTTTCCGATCAGTTTTTGATAATCACTTTTATCACAGACATCAATCAACACATCACTTATTTCTAGTTGACATGTTTTTTTTTTTTCTTTTTTTTTTTTTTTATAGCTGTACCATCAAACAAAAGTATAAGGCTCGTCGANAAAAAAAAAAAAAAAAAAAAAAAAAAAAAAAAAAAAGAAAAAAGAGCGAAAAGAAAAAGCCGTACACTATTGCGTGCGCGGTGTAGTTCTGCTCGCACGTGGGGTCTTCAAGATTTCATATCCGCGCAAAAAGTTGGTGTAGCGGGGGGAGAGGGCACGTAACAAACAATCGGGACGGGCTTCGGTGGCCAAGCCAAAATACAAAATGCATATACGTTACATAACACACGCCAACGCCGATCGATATACTCATCGCATGCGTACGCGCTACCATCGACCGAGCCCGCATCATTTTGTAACAACAATGATGGGCATTGTTGCGTGGCTTTGCAGGACTACACCGAGGCACTGCCGTCGCGGTCCGGTCATTGAGCCATGGCGGTGGCGCCAAAGTGTCCAACGGCGGATTCCCTGAAATCATCGAGCCCCGCGGGCTCGGCGCCCATCCTGACGAGCTCGAGGGCCAAATTTTCGTCGACGCATCTGGCGATCTGGTAAGCCGTGCAGCCCGAGTAGGTTGCCGCGTCCAGTTGGGGCCGGCACTCGCGGAGCAGGTAACAAATGACCCCGAGGTGGCTGTGCTCCAGGGCCAAGTGGAGGGCCGTCCGGCCGGCGAGGGACTCTTGGGCCTCGATGTCGGCGCCCAGTCGAACCAGCAGCCTCACCAGGTCCACGTGGTTGTGGGAGGCGGCCAAGTGCAGGCACGTCTCGCCTGGAAGCAGACGGGGGAAGAGAAAAAAAAAAAGAAACGGGAAACCCGTTGGTTAGTCAGCGGCACTTTTTTTTTTTTATTATTTTTTGTTTCTCTTATTTGTCGTGTGTGTTTGGGTGCCCCCGTGTTATTGATGATGATTGTGGGTTTTTTTGCGCCAGTGGGTGGGTGTGTGTATGTGTTCTTGCGCCAGACGGGCGGGCTGGATTTTTTTTTATACGGTCGTTTTCATGGAGGTCGCTGGGTTTATCCGGTCTTTTGCGGGACAAAAAGGAAAGAGGATATTGACTGTGCTTGTGTATACTTGGCGAAATCGGCCGCGGTGACTTTGTTTCAAGGTGTCTTTTTTTTTTTTTTTTTTTTTTTTTTTCTTCTTCTTTTCTTTTTCCCATGCGCATTAGAATAATATTTGCTTGGGCGAGTTGGGAATTTTTTTTTTCCCCATCTCCCTCCTGCGCGTCGAATTTCACTTTGATCGAACGATTGAGTAACGGCGATGGAACGCGCAAGGGGAGAAATTTGTCGAACCTAATAAATCGTTAGGATTTGCATACACTCGGCTGCGATATCAATCAAACGTACAACTCGACGTGAGTCAATCGGATTTTCACGCTACGGATCGTTAATTTGCATTTTCAAAACACACACTGTATACATTTTTGTGTCAAGATGATTATCGGGGAATCATATAATATGTGTACACACGCTTTGACGATGTGTTGTTTGGATTAATGAGCGATTTGGCATAGATATAGCCCGTGAATTAAGTTGACGGGCAATTTTGCATTTACACACCTAATACACATCAATTCAAAATCATTGCAAAATTCAAAAAAAGCATGTGATATGAGTGAACGTCGGAGGCAATCGCACGAAAAGATACTTTTTACGCGTTATCTTGAAATTTTTTATACCTGACATCATCGATAAATTCATTAGTTGAGAAAGAAGAAGAAGAAGAAGAAGAAAAAAAGTAAATTTCCAGTCGGTATATAATATGTTCTCTGGGATTTCCGCGAATTTCATTATAGCCTCTCGTAGACACGTGCGCGTGTGTACAATATCATACGCACATCGTACAATCTTGTGAAATATCGCTCAAGCACTCAATGTGCGACGTTGCATCAACTATAAAAACTCAAAAATGATAAAAGAAGAAGACAAAAACGAAAATCGATTAATTAGCGGCTTTTTTACCTCGAAAGTGGGTAGGTGTAACAATAATGATGAAACTTTCGTTCACTAATCACAAGTCTCGTTTCGATTAGATCGAATCGATTAAAAAAACGCGCACGTCAATCTGGAAAAAGGCGATTGGATTTTCAATAAAAATAAAAGGTAATGTACCGTAACGGATTTCCCCCTCCCCCACGTAAACTTTTTTTTTTCATGATGTCATTTACACCATGTGCCAGGCGGCGCGCTTGCGGTCAACTTTCGAATGTCGCGTAGTGAGTACACGGGGAATCCCGAAAGTCACTTTTGATTCTTTTCTCTGTCCACTGTATATGTACACACGCGGGCGTACTGGGTTTAGAAACAATGGGCCATTGAGAAAGGCGACTTTCGTATTCGAAGGGAAAAAAAAAAAAAAAAAAAAAAAAAAAACAAGAAAACACAGCAATCGCCGATAGGAACGGTTCAACTTCACGCCTCGCGGCTCCTCGAAAAGCCGCCAGACATCGCCGGCCCGCCTTTGTTTTGCCGTTGAAAATTTTCGTCCCAGCTCCAATAATCATCGTATGGATTAACCGGTAGCGTTCCGCGTGACATCAAAATTTTCGCAAGAGCCCGTTAAAATTGTACAATTACTCGTACAAAGAAACAAACAACAAAACATGGAAAACCGCAAGCGGCCCTACAGCGGATCCTCTCCCCGCAGGTAACGATATTCCTTAACCTTCGATCGCGAGCGGTGTTTTTTCCACTCTCCCGAGGACCCGTTACTTTGCGCGAGCTGTACACAAGCCTCGTGAGTAACCACTCGCCCTTGCAGAGTCAGCAGCCGAGGTCGCGAGCCAAGCGGCGAGGGTCGCCAGCCGCAGGAGCAGCAGCCGTCTGACGGTATCCTGAACAATATATGCGGTGGGAAGCGGCCGAGGCCAAACTCCGCGGCGTGCCCGGCCAAGAAGCCCGAGTGCCCGTCCAAGGCCCCGGAGAAGCAGCAGCAGCCGGGATGCGGGCCCGACGTGCCCAAGAAGGAGGCGTCGGAGGCGTGCGGCAAGAGCCCGCGCAAGGCGAGCAAGTGCAAGCGCGCCGGCAGGAAGTCGTCGCGCAAGCGAAAAACCCCCAAGTCCCGCAACCCGTTCATCATCTTTTTCCTGGAGATGTGGTACGCAAACCCGTGCGGTAAGGTCTCCGAGATGGCCAAAAAGGCGGCCAAGTGCTGGAACGCCATGGCACCCAAGGACAAGGAGCCGTACTGCAAGCTCGCGAAGAAGGAGCAGATGAAGATGAAGCGCAAGTGCGGCCGAAGCGGCAAGAGGAAGAAGGCCAAGAGGAGGCACCGCAGCGCCTCGAGGTCGTGCAAGAAACGCCGGCCGAGGAAGGTTTCCAAGTGCAAGGCCAAGCGCAAACCCAAGCGCAAGTGCTGACCCGTTCGTGATGCTTTTTGCTAGAGAATTTTAGCGCGTGCTTTCGTCTCATGTTATGTCGTTTACCTTTGATAAATACAACGCTTTTCTTTTTAAATAAAACCTCGCGTGTGCATCGAGTCATTTCGATAGTGTGGTTTTTCCGTGGGAGCTGTCGTGAATATTTTCGGCAATGACGTGGACAGAGATACCGGAATCCCGGGTTTTGCCGTCGAATGCTGTTTACCGTAGTGCCTTGATGGACATATGAGCAGATGGAGGGGGAAAAAAGGAGGCCGAGCCGAGAGGAAAAGCGTCGTTGGGTGCAAGTCGCGTTCGTCGACCGTTGACCTTGGCAGTTGAAACGGAATGTGACGATTTCTTTTTTTCCGGCGCGTTGACGTCGAAGGAGTCGGTATTTTTACTTTTTTCTTTATACGATCTTAGTTGCGACATTTCAAAGCGCGGGTGCACGTGCGTGAAACGTATTTGGTTCAATTGAGATGACTGATCTTTACTGAAGCGAAAACCATCAGAGTCACGTCGGTTTGTCACGTTCGGAGACTCGTCACCTGTGCCCTTCCCCGTGTTTTTAAATCAAGAAATAGCACGCCTGTATGAGAAAGTCACGTGTGTTGCGCTTGGAAATACCCAAAATTCGATTTCACCTGGGATCGTGTGTGTACAAACGAATGAATGGGAAAACCAAAAAATAAATCGCCTCCTGTACCATTTCGTGCTCAGTTTTACACGAGGCAATTAAAAATTGTTCAGTTTTAGTGTATGGAGTATGTCCCAAGTATGATTTACAAACGTCCATGAGTTAAAAATTATCTTAATGAATTTTTTTTCACTCACCATGATAGTTTCTTAGCTCCAAGTTTTGAGGAATAGCTGACAATCTCCGAGTTGAAAACAAATTCTGTTCGTACGCTGCAACTGGTTCCGTTAGAGCTTTAGCACAGTCCAGGCTGCCAGAGATGCATGCCAGATGAAGGGCTGTGTTGCCTTGGTAGTTTTTGATCGACATATTGGCACCAGCAAGAACGAGACTCCTCACGATCTTTGGCTGATTCGTTATCACTGCCAGATGCAGAGCTGCCTGACAATCGTCATTTAATATGTCCAAGAGATCAGGGTGTGGTGCTATGTTTATTAAACTGAGAGTGGCTTCAAAAAAGCCTTGTATGACTGCTGTGTGCAACAGCCTGAAAACAAAAAAAAAAGGGGGAGGGGATGGTTATCTTTATCCAAGCTATATTGCAAACAAATAAATTATTACTTTATCAAGAAAAATAACAAATATTGAATTCACAACAAAGATAGGGTCGCAATTATAAAGCAAATTATTATATTTCGTCTCAAGTTGGTTGCATCATGCTTTTATCTCTGGGTTTTTCCCAACGATACACCAACTTCACATTTGTACTCGCGTGTGGCATATATATATATGTGTGTGTTAATGCTATACGAAATTAAAATTGGATTAAACTATCATTACGTTGGCTTGATTCGTTCGATAAACAAAACGTTCACTTACGTATCTCCATCGTCGTTCTGCGTGTAATGAAGCTGCCAAGATTCCTGTTGATTGTCCAAAGAACCACACGCTGTCCCGGATACCAACGAATCATTATGGTTCAAAGACAAGTGGTCGAAGCTTTCGCTGAGATAGCAATAATCAACCAATCCGAAAGCCGACAATTTTGGCAACTCGACCGAAGTCAACCGCATGTCCTTACTTGTTGACTGTATGTCCTCGAACAGGGACGTCGAGGAGAGCTCGGAGCTGCAAATACAGCTGCCGGAAATGAAGCCCGAGTCTCCTCCCGACGTAGATTCCATGCCGTGCTTGTTGTCCTCATACTTCTGGTCTACCTGATGCTGTTGTTGCCACATTTTCAAATTTGACGATCGAACAAACACAATGTGTATTTATAAACAAACTATAGTACAGCTGCAACTCTCGTAGTTGCGAAAAATCAATGCACCAAGCCTGTCGAGGGCAGCAGAAGGCTCGGTTCTTGCCTCGGTGTATACATATAATTGTTGAAGTAACAAAGGAAAACGGACCAAATTGTGATTTTATCTTCAGTGCATGTAGACAATGTTTAAAGAAGGACTCAACAATTCTATTAATAAACAACAGTACAAGCTTCGAACTTGAAAAAACCTCAAGTGCAAGTTAACGAATAGACGACACTATATAACTGGGAGGGTGCACTGTTCGCTTTGGAACATCTCGCTCGCAACTGACGGTGGCGGGCAAGCGGGCTGGTGGATTTGACGTTCTATTCGCCGCGGTCGCGTCGCCGTTGACTTTCCTTTCTTTCTCCTCCCTCTCTCCCCCTCCCTCCCATACATCCGCTCACGGCGCGCCGCGGACACTGTCAAGCACACAGTATATCTATATGTACGTTATACACCGGTCCGCGGTAGCACCGCACGGTTTTTCAAAAGCCCTGAAGATCATTGTTGTCCGCGGTAAATCAACAAAATATTCGGGTTTTTTGCAGCTTCGAGCAAGTATAATATAAGGCTATACTCGTGTTATGTTGTTTTATATCGTTTGATGTTTAACTCTATACCATTTCTCCCGCGCAGATATTTTTCGCAACAGATATTTTGTCCGGATCATCGTCAAGGAGGAAAAACTCGGCAGACATGGGGATACTCGACTACTTGAGTTACTTGAAACAGGTTTGAAAATGCTTTTGAGGTTGTTTTTTCCCGTGTCGAGCTGAATTCGTAATTAGACCGAAATTGTAGGTTTTAAGGTTATAGTACGAGTTTCTTTCTTCATTGCCGAGAGAGCCTTGCCAGAATCCAAAGACATGCGATACTACACGTGAAGCTACTACTGGAACAGGAGAAAGACGTCCAACGGGCTACCTGATGCAGTCGTTGTCCAGTGTGCCAGGTGTGTTTTATGCATGTTATTACCTGTTTCTTCATTTTAAACAATCAAAATATCTATAAGAATTTAACGATTAAAGTTATATTGATCACTAGGTAAGTGTATGTTTATGTAATCTTTTTAAATCGGTTAGAACGTATTCTTAATATATCATCGTTATTAAGTAGAAAATTTTGGGGTTGAAATTTTATTGTTAAAATAAAAAATTTATTATGTACAAATATATTATTGTGCAGATTGTAAATAGCTATCCAATTATAAAAATACACAGAATTTTTACTTGTTCCATGCAAGCCTTTTTTTTCGTACTTTTGAATTGACACATGGTAATGTTAAATTATACAGGCATAGTAGGTGAAATGAAATTTTTACTAAAACTTTTTATGCTATGAGAATTAATTATCTTATTGTGTATCTTGGTTAACATATAAACAAAAAGCTATTTGTTCTTAACCTTGTGATTTATTTAAAAATTTTTTAACGGTTACTATGTATACAATATGTAGCAATGCTCCCACGATAATATTTTTATCCTTATCAATTTTTCTTCTCTTGAAGCAACGTCTCACTTACCATTAAAGTATCCTCCAAGTCTTATGATAACATAAAACCCGAAATAACATTGGATTCGGGAATTAAAATACTTTAATTGAAATTATTAATATTTCAATATTCTTTTATTATAAACATCTTTGCAAAAATTTATAGTAAATTAGTATACAAGCATTTTTCTTGTTTATTAGTAAAATTAATATCTTTCATACAGACGATAATTTCTCACACAATAAAAAATGCTTTTACTTTTTATTTGACTTGATCAAGTTCTTATCAGACAAGAAAATACTCTTTAACTTAAATTAAGTATGAGACTTATACAAAGATAGTTTATACAAATTTTTACAGTAGTATGCTGATTCTACACTACATTATGTACCAATATGCTCCAGAACTCCTTGTCTGATTAATGCTTCACATCCAGCCCTAGGTAGTAAATGACAAGTGTTTTGTTTCAAATTTACAACTTGTCCATCATCAAATTCAAACTTCCCATAATTTTGTAAGCATCGAACCTGAATTGAATACAAATATTGTTAATATTGCCACTATAAAATGCATGCTTCAACTTTAGTATTTAAAAAAATTACCTCTATGTACAATGACTTGGGTGGCACAACGTTATTTACGATATTTAGTCCTTCTTCTCCAATAGACTTCATAAAAGTTGCAAGGGACTTATTATACGCCTGAAACCACTGAACCTCTGGATTGATAAGGTTTGCACTAATTTCAGTAGGTAAGATACTACCTAACTCCCATCGCACTTGTCGCAATCGCCTCACCCTGTGATATAGATATGCCAGCAAACATCGTTTGTTTCGATTTATAGCATAATGCCTAACTACTAAAGTGTTTCCGGGTCTTTCTTCTTGCGTTACATTAAGATCTTCTCTGAAATAATTATTTGAATAGTAGGGAATCAAGTTGATATTATTTTAATGTAGCTTTGAAAAAACTACTTACACATCTCTCAAGTTATCCTCATAAAGAGACTGAATTTCTTCTAAAACTTGTTTGAATATAGCTTCCTAAAAAGTTGAATGTATCTCAATTGTGTTATTTAGTAGTATTAGGCTTTGGGTACAAGAGATAAAAGTGAGCACTCACATTGAAGGGTTTTAGTTCTTGAGTTTGTTCCAATTCGTTGATCAACTTGATTGCTTCCTTTCCAAACATTGTGAATAATAATATTTGATACGAATTGTTTTATATTATTAACACCTAATAAGACATTACTTACTATTTGAAGAGAACGTAAGTCGAACGTTTGTATGTACAAAATTTTAGGTTATGGTAAACTAAATTCATAAAACAGCCTTACCAGCAAACACAATCACCTACCTTATCATCCAAGCATGGTAGTACAGTTTTCAAACATAGTTGATGTCGGTATCTTATCGACCATGAATAAATTATCATAATGACACAAATAAATTTCTTTATTGACTCGTACACTCGCCGTACCTTGATTCGCCAACCGCAAAGTTTGAAGTCTTAAATTTTTTTATGATGAATAAACATAAAATATGATTTTAACATTGTTCAATAGTTGTTGATATGATATTTGTTTATCGTTATATTTTTATTTTATGGTTATGGTCGTTCCTCATATTTTAATGCGATAAATTACTATCAAGAAGGTACGGTGAGTGTACAAATAATAAAATTATTAAACAAAACAAAAAAGTTGAGCATCTCTTTTACCTATCCGATCGCCAAGGAATAGTACCGCCCTATATTTGAGCTAAACTAAATGTGATATTTTTAACAAAGAAAATTGTTTTCTGAATAATTGATTCAACTTCAGAACTATTGCAAATAATCACACCCTACTGTCTGCTGACTTTTTTAAAAAAGCACTTCCTTCCAAGACAGCAATTTCCTTGTTTTCAATTACTAATGGTTCTTTCGAAAGCTTTACGTGCACATTGTTAGATAATCCATTCTTCGGTGCACGTTTTCCGCTGTGCAATGAGAAGCGGAAGCTGTCTTTGACTGCAGTTACGTCGCAATCATACCAATGCAAGGAAACCTATATATGCTGTAGGGAAAAAAAAAGGAAAAAGCCACTGCGATCTAGTAGCCGATTTCAAAGTTGCTCAGCTCAGGAAAAAATGAGCAACCAGTTGAGAAAGTTCTGGTAATTACTTGACTTCTTACGAACCTCCAAGAGTAGACTGATTTTATCGATTATTGAAAAAAATTTTATTCAACTTAATGAACTAGACTAGGTTTTTGATTATAATATTTTTAGGTATGTATAAAAAAATAAAACAATTTCTTATGGTATTATATTTAAATACTTTAATAACAGTGAAATATGTATATTACATAATTGATTTTTGATTAAAGTAATAAAAATAATGTAAATACTTTCTTTCGATTTTATTGACTTGAACGAACGTCGAGAAAATTTTTTGCAAATTTCCACTGAAATTTGTGATTTCATCTTGAACTTTGGAGACTTTGTTCAACGAAACATACTTTTGAATGAACGAATAAAGAATTCGATGAATCTAGATAACTTATTAGTTTTAATATAATACAAAATAAAAATATATTTTACATTTATACATTTCGTTAAATCTAACGTAAAAGTGAAGTTATGCATAAAAAAAAAAAAAATTAACACTTTTTTTCCAAATTAATTTACATGTACAAATCGAATACAAAAGAAACTTTTACGATAAATTTCTTATATAAGTGTGTAAAAAAAGGATTCAAGGAACGTCACTGAGCGAACGAGCGGTAATACTATTTTCGCTTTTAATATTTGAACTCGAACGCTCGCTGACACTTTGTATCTTAAGGATCTTTATGTTGCGGTTTCATGTTAGTAAATTCATGAAATTAACTACAATATATAAATACATTTTAAGGGTTTATTTATAGATTAAATTCACTTCTATAATTTACTGCGAGTGTATGTATCTGTGTGGGATAATTCACTAATGTACTTTTATTTAGGATTTGGTTTTTCTTTTATTTATTTATTTATTTTTTTTTTTTTTTTTAGCAAATGTTCCTGAATTTCTCTAACGTTAATAAATAAAAAAAAAAATTATTTTCAAATAATCTTGACTGCACAGACTCAAACAAATAAGTTTTTAATTTACTCTAGAGGAAAGAACCTGCTTTACAAAAAAACGATAGTCGCGCAAAAATTTGTTTTTCTTTTAGTGTGCTTACACACAATAATACGTACGTTTGTATAAGATAAAAAACGGAAATAAAATTTGTAAGGACAGTAACACCAAAAAAAAAAAAATTTTTTTTCTCGTCGATAAACTTATAGCTGACACTTCTTTTAATATTATTTAATGTAATTTTTCATATGTACAAATAATTAATATTTACAATACTTTTTTTTTCTTCTTGCTTAAACTAGATATACACGTTACTAAAGTAACATCATCGTTTATGATTATTTTTCTTCGTTCTATTCTGCCGCCAATAGAAACTCAGAGGCATGTTTTTACCATATGTATACATATATATATCTCTATATATCTATGTAATCGTCCGCGGTGTGTTTTCCTCGTCGATTTTTTGTTTTCATATATACTTCCGTGCTCTCGTCACGACGTTATTACATCTACACGTTACAATACTCGCCTTATGTATTTCACTTTTTCGCTTTTATATTTCACGCTTTATTCGCATTATTGTTATATGACATATCACGTATAATTTTCTTATTTATTTTAATTTATTTACATACAATCTTTTATAAAATTTGCGTATATACGTAGTGTCTAAGAATCTCCGGTAAAAAGTCCGCGAGAAACGCGCCAGGACGAGTAGCCGAGGGTTACTTTTCTCACATGGTGTGTGTGTTTTTTTTACTTAAAAAATTTTTTTTTTTTTTGGGAGCTTACAATTTAAAAGAAAAACAAAGATCGTCATATAGTAGGGTTTTCTCAGTTTTTCCATTATTTTGCGCAACTTGTTTTGATTACTTTTTTTTATTTTACTCGTCGTTACGCGTTTCTTTGGCTTTTTGCAATCTCGGAGACTGTGAAATGATCATCAGCTAATTTGCCACGAAGTAAGAGAGTTTGCTGCTCTTGAAATCCTCTCGGCCCTTTGCCTCTATCAATATCCTCTTTGCTTATAACCGTTTATGTATTTATAAAGGTTTAATTATTTGATTTCATTTATTATATTTCTCTTTAATCTTTAATCGACCTGCACATTTAACTAGGCTAAGCAGGTTTACGTATCATGTTTAGTGTATGTGTGTATATGTGTATGAAATAGTGCATTATATTATATATATAGACTTTGTATGTATATATATTTTTTTTTTTTAAATATATGTCACTGTTTTTCTTTTTTTTTAATTATTCGTATATGTATATTTTCATTAAAAGTTAAAAACACTGTTTGTCAAAATTTTAGCATGACACAGTGGCAGTGCTTAGACTCACGTGAGGTATCATACACGCAGACGATTTCCCTTCCCACCTTTACGTGCACACAAATGTTTTTCGTTGTTTTTTTATTTATAACTTTTTTTTTTTTTTTTCTTCCACCACACTATATCGCGTACTTCTCTCTGCACGCGCGCAAAATCGAAAATGGCAATTTGCGCTCCTTCCTTCGTGACGTTATTACGCTCTTGTTATTAACGTTTTCGGCTTACGTAATTGCAGTCGCACGCTACGCCAAAGTGCTGCCTCGCGTCACACGTTGTGCCCACACTACCGCCTGTACCTCGTTATATTATCTCGCTCACCTTTTGCACTTTGCGTTGTTTCTGCATGACATTTTTTGCTCTTCCGTTTTTTTATTCGTCCACCGACGCTACAAAAACTAAATTTTACGTCAATCACTTGCTCATCGCTAATTCGCCCCTCGACGAGCTTTCAAGGACCTGTCATATGGGCCGCTCGAATCTTTATTTATTTTTTTTTTACTATTTTATCCTTTTTTTTTTGTTTTAAAAGCATCAGAAGAAAACAAAAGTTATTTGTGTTAAATGCTGAAAAATTGCCCCTTTAGAAAAATGTTCGGTAACGAAGAAAAGTACGCATAGAAATGTTCTCGGAGCAGATGCTAACGAAAGTTTTTAAATCCCACCGAAAAGGAGAGACGTGCAGAGTTAAAAGATCCGAACGGCTTCACGTGTAAGTATAATCGGGTTCCTTGAAAGCTCCCACCAATGCCGCACTTCGACTATAAATACAGCGTAACCATGTGTGTGCACGCGTGTTTGTATGCACCAAACACCCTAGTTTTCCTCCTCCTCCAATTCCATCTTTTCGTTGCCATCCTCTCCTTCGCCTCTCGATAGTAATATAGACTTGCATTTATAGAAGCAGAGATATATTACCATTGTTCTCCAATGCTCGTGCGCAGTGGCTCGCACGCTCGTGTGTATATATATTATACCCGTATCTTGTGTGGGTGACGCTAACAAAAAATGCTCTTTTTTTTCTTCTAATTGCACGCCATTGTACTTTTCAAAATTTTGATCCCTCAATTTTTTTTCTATCTCTCTCTCTCTCTCTTCTCTTTTCGTTCGTATCAATCCTCGCGTTCTGCGTGCCTCGTCGCGACACAATGGTAATCCTCATTAGTCTTAATGCAATTTATTAGAGCTAAGTGTGTCGCTTTGTACCGTTTCTGACATGTGCGGCGGCGGGAGGGAAGGGATACATCGCAACGTCCTTCGTCGTCTCGAAACGGCTATTATTCATGTACGTGTGTAACATATGTGTATGTGTGTGTACGTATGTGAAATAGTGTAAAATTGTTGCTCGGAAATACAGCCTGCGGCCGTCTCTTTCTTTCTCTCGATACACGCGATCCAGAAGGCGTTCGTAGATTTTATACGTACAGACGGTACAATGGTTGACCACACGCTCATCGAGATATCTCGTACTCTTTTTTTTTTTTTAAGCAATAGCGTACAATTTTTTTTTTTTTTTTTTTTTTTTTTTTTTTTTTTTTTTTTTTTTCATCATTAGCGTTAAAATAGATTCACCAAACTGAGCGTGGATCCGCGTGTCTCTCGTTTGGAATTAAAAAAGACTCATCTCGAGTTTTCGTTAAAACGTTTCTATGACAAAACGTGCGTATTTTCCGGGCAAATGATGCAGATTTTTACCTTACTCGTCTGTAACATAAGTATTTACGAACGCCCCTTGCGTGAGTAAATATATGTATGTATGTATAGGCCGGGCGATAAAATACACAACGACGAACAAACCGGAGCCTCGCTCGTTTCGTTTCGAAGCCCCAAAATTGCCGTCGACTTACTTCGCTACAAGTTTTTTTTCTTCTTCATATCATAATCATTATCATTATTACTACTATAATAATTACTATTATACTTCATATTTTTATTTATTTATTTTTTTTTAATCTAAACTTTCTTCTTCTTCCCCAGCATTATCTCGTACATCCGTATCGATAATTTGCACGTTATTGCTCGTTTCACCCCTTCCGACACCCTCAAAATCATTTCGTTCGCCATATACGCTTAATATCATTAATCGTTTCTCTTTTCTTTTTCTTTTTTAATTAGGAAGGCGCGCGCCTGTGCCACCTCTCTCTCCCTGTGGGCGCGCTAGCAGCTGCGGCATTTCATGAAACATCGATTCACACCGCCTCTCGCGCATTACATATTAGGAACATTTGGAAAAAAATTCAAGTTTCGAGATTCCCGACACCCGCAATATGCACACGTATCCATACGTATACGCTCACCCGCGCGCGCTTACACACACGTACCCATGTACGTATATAGGTGTACACCACCTACTTACGATTAGATATACATGTATACTTGTAAGAGGGCGTTTGTCTCGCTCCCCTGCCGTAGTGTACGATATACACATGTTATACGTGTACTCGTGTGTCGCAGCTGCGACGACGGGCCGAGGTGCGAGGCCTTCGCGGGGACTTTATTCGCCCGACGCGCCCTTGTCGCATCGATTCGAAACGTGTGCATAAATATACACGTACACGTGCACTTGCGCGCTCAGCGCATACATGCAGATATTTTTACGTGATACCGCATCAAGATCACAACGTCGACTGCATCGTAGTATCGTTGTGACCGTTTATGATTGGCTCTCTCGTGTGATTGGTCGATCGATCTATCGATTGTCGCCCAATCGAGGTGTCTTACTCGAAGAGGTTGAAAAAGTCGTCGTTCGAGGGTGGATTGCCGCTGCTCGCGCCGCTGCTCGGCGGTGTGTTCAAGTCGGGCGGATCCAAGTACGAAAGCAGCTCCATCGGGTCGACGACGTTGTCTGGCAAGAGCTGCAGGACGAAAAAACGAATGGTCATTCGATTTTCGATAATCGCAATCGATCGAGATATCGATATTGGGTTGTATGTGTATTGTAATACGTACGTTGAGGGCCTCCTGGCCGGCATCCCCGTCGCCAATGACCGTTGTGGGGTCGAAGCTGAGCTCGGTGCCGATGATGTCGGAGGCGTCGGGTACCGAGGCCCCGGTCGTGTTGACGGCACTGCTGCCCGTCGACGTGTTTAGGTTGTTGCCACTGGTGTCTTGCGCCACCGAGGAGGCCGCGACGCTTGGGGGCCCGCTGTTGCCGCCCGTGTTGCCCGGCGTGTGGGGCGTGTGCGGCGTGTGGGGCATCTGTTGGTTGTTGCGGGCAGAGAGAAAAGCCGAGGCGTGCATTAGCAGACGTGCAATTTTAGAAAGACCACACCACCCCCCTCTACCCTCGCACATGCAGTGTGCGTCTATTCGCGCGAGTCCGAAACGAGACGCACTCGAAGCCGCTCCTCCTCCTCCTCTCGTCTCTATTATTATATTGGGTTATTCTCGTAGGGAACGTGCGATTCCGATGAAAACTCTAATAAACCTAGTTTTATCTCTCTCTCCCTCTCTATCCAACTCGAGCTCGACATACAAGTCCATATCTATATGTATATTTATATAGAGAGAGAGAGGTTGCTCGATTCGTAAGATCGTTTTAGCGCACTAGCAGTGTTTAATATTACATCGAGCTTCGAACTTCGAGGGAATGTTAATTTAGATTATTTGTGACGAATGAAGCCGATCGTCAACGAAATACCGAGGATGTGCAGCACAGCGGTCGATTTCAAGTCCCGACACCTCAGTAAAGTGAAAAGTCGAAAAGCTCGGATCGAAGATAAATAGAGCAAAAATACAAGCGCGTCGAAAATAAACGCGATTGAGAAGAAGCGGTGGAGGAGATGATGAAGAAACCGATGCGAATCCTTGTCCCACTTCTCGGCCATACATTATCGCCTAACATTGAAACAGACCAGAGCAGTGACGGCAGAATACACACCTGATCGTGGAGCGATTTATCGATGCCGGCTAGATGGTCGAGCGAGCCGTGCTCGCCGAGGTGCTGCATCCCGCTGTTCGCCCCAAAGTCGTTCTGTCCGGGCTGTCCGGTCAAGCTTGCGAGGTCACCGCTCATGCTACCGCTGTTGGTTCCTTGCCCCGACGAAGGCGTTCCTGGATTCCTGTGCGCGTATGCTTGTTGTTGTTGCTGCTGCTGTTGTTGGCTTTGTTGTTGTTGTTGTTGCTGTTGCTGTTGTTGCTGCGACGTGCTTCCGTTGACCATCGAGCCACTGACGATGCTATTCATGTCGGGTACCATGTAAGGGCTCATCTGGTTCGCGTCGATCCAGCTGTTCATGGGCGGCAGATTCGTACTGCCCGGTGACATGGCCTTCGTCAATCGCGACTTGCACTCGTTGCCATTTTCCTCGTCCACCTTTTTCGGCTTCCAATTGGCCGAGGAGTCTATCGTTATTTCCTCGATGTCTGGCGTGTTCGTGTTGCTCAGTATGCCCCATATGTACTGGTCTATCTCGAGACCCTCCAACTGGGCGGGTTTACTGTCATTGGGGAAAAAAAAAATCATCGTTTCATCTTAACCATCGTCTCATTGAGGTATAAGCTATTCGATTAGTGATGGTGTACTCACGAGCACACTGGACACCTCCAGCTGCCTCGATCGCAGTTTAGCTGGAGATACGATTCCAGATCGAAGCACTGTATGTGCTTGCAGTCCTGGCCCCTCGCCGGCAGCGAGATTCGCTTGTACGTGATCGGGCACTTGAGCGATATCTGAAAAATACGTAAACAGCACCTCTTCATCTCCATCTTATTCTCCACGAAAGCTCTTTTTGGGGTACCGGCAAAAAAAAAAGGGGATGACGATCGTGGGATCTTGTACCAACGTGAACTTACCTTGATGGAGGTTTGCTCGACAACGTCCTTTTCCGCCGGGATTCCGTTGACGGTCAGAGAGCTGTTGAAGTTCCTCTTGATCTTCGCCACGCTAACGTCGGCCGGGAGCAGGCGTTTGCGCAACAGTCCCTGCAGTACGCTGTGCACCGTGGGTCGGTGAACCAGTTGTAGGACGAAGAGGTGCGACTATTTTTTTGGAAAGCATCGCAGTTGTTATTGTCGAGTCGAAGAATGAGGGTCATAAGGGTTGTGATGTACTCACGCAACAGCACGCGGCAACGGTGATCTGTATGGTGTTGCGCCCGGGCGTGCAGATGTCTTTCAGGTACAGTGGTTTGTGGGATGTCTTGTTCTCGCCGCGGTCGATGACAAGGGGCGTCGCGTTGACCGATATCTGCACGCTCGCTGGCCAATTCGTGTTCATCGTTCGGTCCTCGTGGTGGAAACACTTCAGCTGGAGCTCGAGGTCCGACCGCCAAGTGAGGGTGTGGTGGACCATCTGCTTCAGGTGGAACACGTGGTTGCTCACGGCCAGGTTGTGCTCGAGGCGGAACGGTTGCAGGAGGATGCCGTCTCGCACGGGGAATGTTAGTCGCAGCTCGTCCTCTTCTGCGAATGGGAATACGGGATTTTTTTTTATACTTTCGGCACTTTTTTTATCGTCATGTGTCAGTGGGGTTTTTGATTAATGACAAATGATTGTATTTGATTTTTTTCGGATCGTTTTATTCTTTACGCGTTCGAGATTACTTCAGAGTTGAAAACCGAGAAACCTTGTAAAATCTTCAAAATTTGAAGAATTCATCATTTCGGGGAAAAAAGTGTCACAAATGCTGCATAAGGTGACGCTCAAATTTTTGGGCGTGAACATCTCGACTTTTTGAAAATGATGACATTCAAGTTCTTGGCGACAGAGTTGACAAGTGGGTGTAGAGGGAAGATCTTTTTCTTTTCCAGTTCGGTTGACTCTTTTGCTGTCAATCCGATCAAACCCAATTGATTTAAACAAAGACGAGTCCAAAACACGTTGATATAACATTTTGGAAACAATACTGTATCGAATAATGCTCGCGATACTTGGAAGGGGGTAAGCCGGTTTTTCGGTTTCCTCTTTAAACAGAGTCATGACTAATACATCCCCGGCCCACGATCTCCGGAATCTCCGTAAAAATTCTTTATATAGAATAGTATCCACACGTGCGCTGGCAGCGTTAAATATAGTAGCAGGAAAATTCTTAAAATATTCCCTTCCGAAGAGCCAGACTCCGCACTCGAGGGACGACTCACGAAAACGCTCGGGAGAAACGCTACCATATTTGTCCTTCCGAGAATGGACAAAAACGTTGCTAGACGAAATTTTCAAACAATTCGTTTCAAGTGACGTTCCAGGGGGAAAAAAAAATCTCCAACAAGGAAGGAAGGAAGAAAAAGAAGAAAAAAAAACGCAGAAGAGAAAGTCGTCCTTCGGTGGTCATAAATATCGAAAACGCGCGTTGTGTCGGCACCCACCCGAGCGTTGATGTATTGTCCACGTTAATGACGGGCCCGACAAAACGGATGATTTATTAGCGATCCCCGTGCAGCTCGTTCGCTTGCGAATAACTTCCAAAGGAAGAAAGGGAAGAAAGAAAACACACTCGGGGCGTTAGGTTTACACAGGGCAACATTATACGTCCGCTGGTGCAATTTGTGTGGACCTTTAACGCACCCGTTGCGACGACAACCTCAACCACGCCTGGACAAAAATATTTTTTACTTTCCTGACAAAACTGCACCCATTATACCGCACGTAGACTACAATGTGGATGGAAAAAGGTGCGCGTATAATGGACTACTCACTTGGCATTATGGGCTTAATGTCGTTGAAGCCGTGCTTGCCGTCGCCGTTCGGACTGACGTAGGGTGGCATGTTGGAGGCGGGTGTCAACGGGGGCGTCGGGTTCCCAGGTATCGGACTGTGCTGATAGTTCATCTGGTTGCCACTGGCCTGAACATTGGCGGCAGATCTCAATGGCGAGTTGTCGGGCTGATACTGCCCGTTGTTCATCGCGTAGGGCGAGGCGCCCTGCCCGTAACCCCCAGCTGTGCCCGGGGTCTGTTGCTGCTGCTGCTGCTGCTGCTGCTGCTGCTGCTGCTGCTGTTGTTGTTGTTGTTGCTGCTGCGGCTGTTGCTGTTGCTGCTGGTGGTACTGTGCCACTGCGCTTGCCGCCATCACTGCCGGATTGTTCTGCGGTACGACTCCCGTCAGTTGCTGCTGCTGTTGCTGGATGCTACTCGCGAGGGTCTGTTGCTGAGGTTGCATCGTCACGATACCCTGCTGCTGGGACGGCATGCTGCCGATGACTTGCTGCTGCTGTTGGTGCTGCATACCAGCCATGCCTTGCTGGTGGTGCATGTGCTGGCTGCCCATGTTGACGTTGACGTTGACGTTAATGTTACCGCTAAGGGCGCTCATGTTACTCGTCACGTTGCCGGCGATACTGTTCACGTTACTGCCAGGGTTGATCGTGGGCGCCTGACCGCCGTAGTACTGACTAGCCTGGTTGGACATGGCCCCGTAACCTGGGGCCATCGTCTGTTGCTGCAACTGCTGCTGGTGCGTCAGCATCTGGGACTGGGACGGCTGTTGCTGCTGCGGCTGCTGCTGCTGCTGCTGATGCCTGACCCCACCGACGTTGCGCATCATCGTCGAGGCCGTGGTCGCCCCGTAGCCCGTCGCGGGCATGCCGACCCCCATCTGCTGTTGCTGCTGCATCGCGAGATGCTGCTGCTGTTGCTGGTACTGTTGTTGTTGCTGACGCTGTAACTCCACCGAGTGCTGCGTCATTTGCTGGGACTGGGCCGTCTGGTAGGGACTGGGTCGGCCAGCCGGGGTCGCCGAGTAGGCAGTCGTGGCATACTGTTGCCCAGCAGCGGTCATGGCGCCGTAGCCCGTGTGGCCCATCGCCGATGCAGGGTTCACGGTGCCGTACGGCATTTGTTGCTGGCTGGTTTGCTGTTGCATGCGTCTCTGCGACATGTGCATCGAGGCGTTCGGGTAAGGGGAGGCTCGTCTCCCGTGACTGGTGTACGCTTGTTGCTGTGACTGGAAATTGAGGTATCGGGGATTTTTTTTTTTTTTTTTCTCATCACTGTACAACTGTTGGTTTAGTGTTAATGTAGATACATATTTGTGTGTATATAAATGCGTTGAAATAAAGAATTGCTGTTGTTTAGGAAAACCAAAGTGTAAATTGTTAATTTGATTAGCCGTTGATTTTTTGCCTATAATGTATAAGTACTGACCTGCATGGTCATTTTGTGACCAGCCGTAGACATAGACGACATCATGTTTAAACTGGAATTCATGGAGTTGAGAGGAGCAACGCCCGGCATGCCGCTCATGCCTGTGACATTAGCGGACGGAGCTGTCCCAGCTCCACCGCTCATGCCCATCATTGTTTGGTTTTGCATGGTGTTTATAGAAGACGTCATGGACGAAACCATAGGATTTACTGGACCCATGCTCGGGTAGTTTGTGCCCATTCCCATGGGGCTCATGCCCGCCATTGGGCCGCGCGGGTTGTAACCCATGTACGTTTGGTGTGCCATTTTTATCTGGAAACACAAAAACAAATGCGCCCACTTATTACTTCCTCTAACTTATATATTGTGCTGAAATATGTTTTCCTTACGATATGTTACATAATTAATTAGATGTAAGTCATTATGGTTAGATTGCTGATTTTCTAGCTTTGGATAAAAATTAGTTCATAAGCTTGATTTCTATGAAGTAACCCTAGATTTCTTGAAAAAATTAATTGATACTATCTAGTATTGAGTTTTCTCTGAAAAATATATTTGGTCTGTACATTTTATGCTTGCGACTAGGCTACACCCTCACATTTTATCAACAAGGGTATACCAGTAGAGTATTCAATTCGAATAGTGCATGTCTTTGGATTCCAAGGCAACGGGGTCTGTAGAGCTTTGAGACAAGCATAAGGCCCAATATATCCAAGGGGAGTTTGAATCAAAAATCATGAAAAAAAAAGAAACCAAGATGATAATAGATGGTTATTGACTCGTCCGAAATTCCTAGAATCAATCGGCATCTCTTTTCCGCGGTAAGCAAGCAAACCGAGCACATATATATTAGGAACAAGAGAGCCGACCCGCGGACTTTAGCGAGGCTTTCCCTTCACTCTCTCGTAACTAATCTCTCTCTCTCCCTGTGTGTGTGTTCACTGTGCTTGTGCACACGCGACTCCGCGAATTGCGAATAGGGAAGGGGGGGGGGGTGTCAAGCACCTACCCGAACGAGTAGTGCATGGTATCATAGGGCCCCCGCGCGCAGTTCCTGAGAAGGCCGCGGCGCAACTTGCCTCGCATTTGTCCGTGTCTTTTGTATTATGGTATATACGTGTATGTCTTGTGGTATTCCGGGGTCTGATCTCTCCCCCTCTCTGCTGCTCACATGTATTCAATGTATCTCTCTCTCTCTGTTGCAAAGTATGTATCCATGCATGCGCATAGCCTCTCCTCCTCCCCCCCTTTTTCTTTTTTAAGCTCCACGACGCGCGTAAGTCGTATACCACATACATATACCAATGCTGCCTCCTCTCTTTCTCCTTAGCTATCCGCGAGTACATTACAATATATACATACGTATTGTGCGCATTATGTGGCGGATACACCGTTAAAATTGTAATTTCACCTTTTGGCGAGAAAGAAAGATGGATCGTTTTGCTTCCCCCCCCCCTTGTTGTTTTCCCTTGAAAACCACATCATTGCTCCTGCATTGACATTTTAAATGTCATTAATTTATACAATATGTAAAAAAAAAAGACAAAAAAAGAAAGAAATGAAAATCGGTTTCGTTCCTACTCATACTTTTAGGGGGGGGGGGAGAGGAATGTATGCCAGTCTTTACAAAGTGCCGTTTCTCTTTTGTTCCTCTAACGAGGTGAGAGGTCTTTCCAGACCAGAGAGGCCTCCTCCATTCCCGTGTTTACTGTTGACATCGACCACAAGTACATCACACCCATTGGGCTTCAATATACAAACAACGGCTAACCAGCTCTTTCCCTCCAATGTACATCACTCGATTTCACCGATCCCCCCGGAAATTTACGACCAGGTGATGTCCCCGTGCGCGATCTCCTTTCATTCGCTCGATTATCACGCACCGCGACCACAATGATCTCTTCTCCTTCTCGGGACCCATTGTGACGGCAATGCGCGAAATATATACAAAGTGGAAAACCCGCTTCTTTTACACCCAAGCCAAACGGCCCATACAATTCATATTCGAGGGAACATGAACATAGGTAGGCGTACATAAAATATATGTAACACTGAAATGCGTGAGATTTTCGGACTTTCTCTTTCGAACGCAAATTTTGGGCCGTTTCGGCGAGCACTCGCTCACATAAACCACGTAAAGGGCCTCACTGGATTTGTAAACGCTGTTGGGAATTACCGTTATAAGGTAAGTGTACACGTACCCATGCATGCAGGTATACATGTACCCCTTATAATATATACTGTACGTATACATGTGAGAAAAGGAGCCCCCCTGCGGTGCAATATCTGCACCTATATACATCGCGTACACGTCTCGATCCCTCATACACTACTCGTATATACGATGCGTTCTCTTTTGCTCGGCTGTTCTCCCTTCCTACCCGCAACTTTTCAGCCCTTACGCTCCGTTTCCGCCTCTCTCTCTCTCTCTCTCTCCCTCTTCAAAGGCTCCCTTCGTTCATTCGACCCTTTTCTCCCCACTCTACTACCCCCCTCTCTATTTCTCCCTTTTCGCACGTGCACGCGCGCCGGATTCTTTGCTTCCTCGGTGTCCTCTCGCCTGAAACACACTCGTCACTCGTCACGCTCGTTTTTCGCGTATCTATACCATACACTTACACTTAGCAAATATGTTTAACCGCCGTTACATCGATTCGTGTAATAATAATGATGATGATAAATGCACTGCCGTCAATTTGCTCGGTAGCTTTCACCGGCCTGACACGGTAAAGGAGCCTTTGGTAGAAAAAAAAAAAAAAAAAAAAAAAAAAAAAAAAAAAAAAAAAAAAAAAAAAAAAANAAAAAAAAAAAAAAAAAAAAAAAAAAAAAAAAAAAAAAAAAAAAGGGAAAAGCAAAGATCCGCCAAACGAAATGAATTAAAATTCACGATACACCGTGCCACTTGATAATAAAGGCGGAGCGCCCCGGGTGCATGTATACATGTATAGGCAGAGAGACAAGGGGGCCGAGGTAGAAATCTGTTACAATTCCGCAGAAACACGCGCCACATACACACGCACATATACACAATATTTTATTCGCCGGTAGAGAAAGTCCATGTTTAATTAGAATGAAAACTCTGTCACTCGCTCATCTATATCGTCTTGCGGGTGTATGGGTGTGGGGATATACAAACGCTCGGTTTATTAGAGGATAACGATCATCCGGTATACGTTGAATCTGTACAAACAACGGCGCTGGTAGATGATTTTTAACGCGATGTATACATGTATCCGACGAGGGACCCGAAAAATCATACCTAGACGACAAAAGCAGCGACGCGACCGTGGCAACAACGGAGATCGCTGCGGGAGTAGAAAAAGAGAGACCTGGAAAGGAAAAAAAAAAAAAAAAATATGAGAGGACACGTATAGGTACGCGAGAGAGCTCCATTTCATAAGAATGCCACTAGAAAATTACTTTCAAAACCAAAGGCGCTCTCCGTGTGTTTGCGTGTTGGTATACCAATATACATGCACGGCGTGGTATAAGGTACAGCCTGGCTCACTTTCTCGCTCTCTCCCTGGCTGGGGCCGAACCAGCATCGGTGGCGTCGCCGATCTCTCCCGATTTTCACTCTCATTTTTTTTTTGTTTTCCCTCCTTCTCTCCCGCAGCGTGTGCAGTAACTTCGCCGTTTACGTGTCCCTGCACCGTACATATATCGGCTCGAGGAGCCGACTCCATCCCTCGAATATTAGCGCGTCGCTACTGCAACCATCGCGCCAAACTCTCGGGGCAACGTAGTCGCGGCTAATGTGTGTTTATACCTGTACAAGTGTGCACAATGCATATCGTACCATTTGTACCTATATATACTTACGTATTATATGGTACCTGCGGTGAATATGGCACCAACGTACCCATACACACAGACATAACGAGAGAGGGAGAGAGCAAAAGGTAGCCAAAGAGCGAGCGAGAGAGAGTTAGTCTAACGCTCATCGAAGCCCTCATTGCCTTTCTGTGGGAAAAGCACGTGCTCGCTATTCACACACACGGGCGCGCTGATGCTTTTGCTCGCTCGTTCGTTCGTTCGTTCGCTTGCTTCGAGACTCCTTGCTGCAGCTTATATGTGTGTGTGTATATATATTTATATTTATACTTCGTCGTCGCCGTCGTTGCACGCTCTGCACCACTGTACTGCCTTGCCTCTGCTCCCGCACAATGCTTTTATGTATATGTAATATGACGATCGAAACTCTCCTCACCCCACACCCCATTCTTCCACCTCTTCTCTCCATGTGTATTTTTTTTTTTTTTTTTTGTGCGACGACGTATCTCACACCATATGTATATACCGTGTAACGCGCTTTTATGTACTTGTGTAGGTCGAAACGCGTACACGAAAAATCTCTTGTGTTTTGCGTATAATCATATATGCGGACACGGGCGTTTATGGGAATCGCGAGTATCTCCCCACCTCACTCCCCCCCTAGCTTTTTCGACATTGACGTTTCGAAGTGAGAGAGGTGGATACGTGCGGTATTTATGATACGTCGAATTTTATTTTATTTTATTATTATTATTATTTTTTTTTTTTGTTGCAAATGAAAAAAAGGGGGTTGGATGGAATTGTTAAAAGGTTTTTCGCTCGAGTGAAGAGCTCGAGATTTTTTCGGAAATTTTTCGATCTGCGTTTTGCGGGAAAAGTGGATTTTCGTGTCGATTCTGTCTCTACCTTTTTTTTTTTTTTTTTTTTTTTTTTTTTTCTTTTTTCTTCATCGTGCGAATGATTCGAATAAATTGAAGTAGTTTTAAACAGAAAGAGGGGTTGGTTTGCATTAAAGGGGATCGAGCACGATCGAGTCAGAAAAAGGAGGGGTGCTTATTTGCAAGTCCGCAAGTGAGGAATCCCCGGCAAATCTCTCGAGTTTGACCTTCCCGACTAACCAAATATTGCTACTGTCAACACAAGAGGAATTCATCGCGTGCTCCCATATAAATTAGCCGCGAGATCCGATGGTGCTATTTGTATGATTGTTCTGCCTTTCGTTGCGCCCCTCGATTCAATAAATTGATTTAAAAAAAAAAAAAAAAAATTTGTTTAAGCATACACTTTTATTAAACAAAGTAAATGACCGACATACGTTGAAAGAATTTCTTTCTTTTTTTTTTTTTGCTTCCTCTTACTGAACCCCTCGATTCTTCATTCCGTTGATGGGATATCCGTTTTGTGCGTCTTTTGTTGAGTATTGAATCTTTTTTTTTTCTCTCTCTCTCTCTTTCTGTGAAGGAAAAAAAAACCTTCTCTACTTCCGTTGCAATGACTGGCGTGTTAAACGTGTGGTGCTGGTATATATAATACGGAAG